ACACACACACACACACACACACACACACACACACTGCTCAACAAAATAAAGGGAACACTGAAATAAGACATTCTAGATCTGAATGACTGAAATATTCTCATTGTACACTCATGTTCAGTACAAAACTGAATGTACTGAGAGTTTGTGAAATTGTTAGTCAATCAGTGTTACTTCCGAAGTGGACAGTTTGATTTCACAGACGTTTAATTTACTTTGAGTTAGATTGTGTTGTTGTGTTCCCTTTACTTTTTTAAGCAGTATATATTAGTGCCACACATGACAGATCTGTTTGTTTTCATCAACAAAAATCACTCGAGTCACTTGTCATATAAACACTATTGAATAACTGTAATTTGTTCAAAACTTTCTTTTTTGCAGAGGGCTTTCAAACAGCATTTACATTTTAAAGAATATTTATTATTTAAAAAATTGATAGATTCGGTAAGTCAAAGATCTGTGATGGTAGGATTCAAATCGGATCTTGCTTCCTAACTCATTAAAAGTAAATTTATAAAACATTTGCAGGAACAAATGGCAGGATCCTGCCAACAACGCCAATAATCTGTCGTGGCAAATTTTATCAAGAATGCAGAAACACGGAATAAATGCACAGAAAGTCTGCGTGTATGGTCGTCGAATGATTTAATTCTTGAGCCACAAACCCGACAGTTTTCCTGATTGACTTGTTTCGTTGCTCAAGAATTAAATCATTCGACAACCATACACACAGACTTTCTGTGCATTTATTCCGTGTTTCTGAATTCTTGATAAACTTTGCCACGACATGGGGGAAACTATGTGTAAACAAATCTATGCACACACAGAGAAGATCTCAAGCATGGCGGTCTTAGATATATTTAATAAATAAATAAATCCAAAGTACAAAAAAATCCCACTGGATATTTCATTCCTTCTACTTCCCCTCCACCCATCGTGAACTAAACTGTGACAAACAGCTCCTGTTCTCTCTTCATAACATGGAACAAGTCAGGGACTGATGCTGATCATCAGTTCACATCAAAACTTCCCTCACTTCAACTGATTCATTTAAACCAGTCTCAGCCTTTTTAAAAACTTGTTCCCTGGACCCCTCCCACCCAAACAACACTTACATGCTACATATCTGCAGGCACCTCGGATAAGACAGAAGGATTAGAATGAGATGAATTCCTAGTAGAAACCACAAAGTACATTTCATTGCTTTGTGTTGATAAATGTCTTGCTGATTCATGAGTGTATTTTAACAGCTGTTTCATTGCTTCACTAACGGCGCTTCAGATGAGATGAACGAGTGCCGGTGTCAGTGACCTCCTCAGGCTGGAGAGTAATCCTGAGGAATCCTTMCTGCTCCTCTTCAAGGTAAGAATGCTGAAGAGCAAACACTTCTGGGTAGCTTGTTCACAAGGATTTTGTAGGTGTCAGAGTCTGGTCAGTGATAAAGAGGTGGTGCAGGTCTTTCAGTCTAAAGCAGGGGTGGTCACTCCTGGTCCTGGTGGGGCCGCAGCCCTGCATGTTTTACTTGCTTGTCTACTCCAACACACCTGATTTGAATGAATATATAATTATCAGGCTTCTTGTGGTACGGAGGACCAAAACTGTCATAATTAGAAATAAAAGCAGAAATACATGAATGAACCACTAAATTACCAATTACCCACTTTTAAAAACTGTTACGGCCAGAGGTCTCTCTTCTATGTTTATACTAAAGCATGGAATGACATTCCTCAAAACAAAGTCCATTTCAAAACGACAGCCCTTTAAGAAGAATCTTGTCTGCCATCTGCTGGACACTTTTTGTTGTGCTCATATTTAGACGTCCTATTTTGCAAATGCTGCC